CAGCTCTGTGTGTGGACCAGGTAGGAGCACTGGCGTTGAGGGAAGTCGGAGCCCGACTCATGCTGGGCTGGCCCGTGGACCGGCGGGCGGCTCCGTCTCGTCTGAGTGACCGCGTGCCTGAACACTGTGTCCACGGAGCTCTGCTTTCACTGGAGTTGCACCGCGTTTGATTTACATTATGTGATTTTTATACTTCACTAAAAGGAGGACACCAGGTACCATTGTTCAAGTGTCCTGTGGGCGCCTCTGTGGCTGCCACGTACCTGCTGCAGTATGTGAGTGACTCTGGCTTGGGAGTGACCTCTTGGTGTGTTCTGCTGTACTGAATGGCCCTGCTGCACCACCTGCACTGTGACATCGGGAAGTCTGACTGAAGGACCCCGTTAGGGGCGGAATGAGTTGGATGCTGTAACACGTTACCACAGATTTGGTGTCTTACTATTCTGCATGTCAGAAGTCTGAGATGGGTGTCACTGGGATCACACAGTGCTCCCTACAGAGGCTTCGGGGGACCATCAGACCCCCTTTTCCAGCCCCTCCTCCACCTCCAGAGCCAGCAGTGGCCACTCGACTCTCACACTGACCCTCCTGTCTCCCTCTCCCACGCTTGAGGACACTTCCAATCCCACGGGCTGACCTGGTCACCCAGCTCCTCTGCTCCTCTCCAGCTGATGGGTCCCCACATCTCATCTGCAACCTCAGTGCTCCTCACCAGGCCACCAGACGTCGTCACGCGTGCTGAGGACTTGGACCCGCGCATCTTCTGGAGGTCAGCATTCTGCCCATCACAGGTGTTAAAACACAACCATTGAAAGAGAGAAACAGAGGATCGATTCACAGGGGAAATGGGGAGCATGTGAGCACGGGCATGGCCGGAGTGAGAGGTGGTCATCCTGCTGCTGGGGCAGAGGGCTCAGGCAAGGCGTGGGGGTGCCCACTCACCCTGCACTCGTTGCTGCCTGGCCCGGGTCACCCCCACCCCCCAGGCCTGATGTTCACTGCTGACTCAGAGGCGCTGAGCCTCCTGCCCAGACAGGAGGTGATCTAGGTATGGTCTCTGCAGAAGGCAGCAAACCCTGCTCGTCCTTCAAGGCTGGGTGTGAACACCACCTCGGTGGGTCCCTGCAAATATCTGCCACCCCTGGATGGTCCTTCTCCAACTGTTTCTCAGCCAGAACTTTGCACCAGAGCCCTGCTGAGTGTTGGGCATGGAATCTGAATCTGAGACCTCAACAGCCCACGTCCTCCCGGAGGGCAGGCAGCAGACAGGGCCAACAGCAGCAGCTGCTGAGCGCCTGCGGTCAGAACCTGCCAGTCAGGGTGCGAAACCAAACGCATCCCGAGCTTCGGCAGTAACACAAATGGAACAGGGTAGAGCAATGACAAAGAGCCCCTCTGGCTTTCCTTCCACTCTCTGGCAGTGAAATGGCCCGCAGACCCAGGGGGACACTGACCACGGCAAGGGAAGCCAAGGAAGTGCTGTGGCCGGGGTGCGGAAGGGGAGAGGGAAGGGTGGCACCAGGAGAGCGCCGATGCCCTGGCAACCAGCAGCTTTTGGGTGGGCTCTCCCAAGACTTCCAGCTTGTCCAGAGAAGATGGAAGTCTCCTTTTCTCAGAAGATGTCTTGTGCATTTCATTTTACTTTTGTGGCACAGGGGACGGAACCCAGAGGCACTCTACCACTAAGCCACATCCTATCCCTTCTTACTTTCCATTTTGAGAAAATCTCTCTAAGTTGCTGAGGCTGGCCTTGGACCTGCCATCCCCCTGCCTCAGCTCCGCTAGCTCTTGGGGTCACAGGTGGGCACCATCGTGTCCCGCCTCCTCTGCATTTCAGAGTGTCCACGACTATGTCAGATGTTTAAGAGGAAGGCACTGGATGAGCCCAGCAGCACAGGTCATGAAGCTGAGCTGCCCTGAGGTTGCCATTCGCAGCCTCAGTGACGGCTGAGGGCAAGTGCCCGGCCAGGAGAGGTGAGGGTTCAGCATGGACTGTTCTCAAGAAAAAGAAACCATACACACACACACACACACACACACACACACACACACACACGGATAAGAGTGTGTGAGGAGGCAGCACTCCCAGGAAGTCTGTTCCTTTATTCTTCTTGTGTTTAACAGGAGACGAGACTCATGGGAGGAGGCCCAGGAAGAGGGGGATGAAGGCAGGAGAGGTGACACGCCCACAGGGGCTGGGGAGGGGGGCTGGGGAAGGAGGGCCTGCATCTCACAGCCCCGGCGTGTTCTCCGTGTTCTCGGTGAAACAGCGCCGGGGGCCTCAGCCGAGGAGAGAGGGCCGAGAGGCCAGAGAAGGAGCACCCCGACAACCCGGCAATGCCAACACCTGCAGGGACCAGCACCGGGGGCGGCCCTCCAGGTGCGGGTGTGGCCCTCCGTGGGCTTCACAGCCCGCGCTCCGGGCCCCCGCGGGGCACACACACGCGCAGGTGCGCACGCGGCCCCGGAGGCAGAGGGCCGCACACCAACCCGGGACCCCAGACCCGCGCGCACGTGCGCGCACCACGCGGTGCCAGGGCCGGAACGCGCGCTCCTCCGTGCGGGGTCCCCTCTCCGGCCTCCCGCGGAGCTGAAATCCACGCCACCCTCAGGCGGTGGGCAGACCCGGTCGGCGGCGGAGAAAGGGACCCACCTGCACAGCACCCCCGCCCCTCCCACTGAAGGCCCGGGAAGCCCTCCCTCTCCAGACCCCACCCCGGGAGCCTCGGAGCCTCGCCCGCACACAAACACCCTCTCGAGTCACACCCGCGACCGCCTCGTCCCTGCCCACGCCCCCAGCCCCTCTCCCTCCCCTTCCCGCCATGGGGTCCCTCTGAGGACTCACCCTCCCCAACCAGACCCTGTCGGGGCACTGCGGAGCCGGCGCTGCGGACTGCGGCTGCGCAGACGCGGAGGCTGCGGTGGGAGGTGAGAGGTGGGAGGTGGGAGGTGGGGAGAGGGGAGCGGAGGCAGCCTCCTCCCTCAGCCTCCTCCTCCTCGGCCCTGGGAGCCTGCACCTGGAAGGAGCGGAGGAGGAAGGACGACAGAACTCAGTGCCCGCTGCGTGGCTGTGGGACAGGGAGGTTCTGGGCAGGCCCTAAGGGTCCAGCCAGAGTGGGATGACCGTCCATCCCCCGCTGAGGGGCACGTAGGTCACCTCGCGCTCCAGCTGCAGTCGCACTCAGGACAAAAGCTTTGCACACGGCCCCTGGGAACCTGAGACCCGCCTGCTGTAGGTCAGGAGCGGACTTTGCCCCCTGGCCTGGAGTGTCGTGGGGATATGGACACTTCCGTGCCTCGGTTTCCCGTTCTGTAGAGAGGAGCTGCTCACGGTCACCCTCCCCCAGGACTCCCGCAGAGGGCAAAAATGAGGAGCGCACAGTTCCTAGGGCAGCGCATTTCTCAACTTTCTGACCTGGGTGTGGTGCAGGACGGTTTTGCTTGGAAATCTTATTTTCATTTCCTGGATTACTAACAAAGTGAGCCAGATTAGCTTGTGAGTTACCTGTCGGTCTCCCTGTATTAGTGGCTCTTACATAGTGGTTTATAGTTGATCTTTCTATATTCCAGATATTAATCCTGTGCCTGTCAGTGTGTCTGTGGTGAATATTTACTCACCCTGTTCCTTTTCATTTTATTTACACATTGCTGGAAGTTTTGAATTCTGAAAAGAATCCAATTTGTTTTTTGCTTTTATGTATTATTTAAAATACCCTTCTCCCCCTGACCTCACAGACACACCTTCCTACATTACTGTCCTACATTACTGCCTTGCATATAGTTACTTGAATCTTCTGGATATCTGTTTAATGCTGTGAAGTGAGGATTTGCTTTTCTTTTCCAAATGGATAGACAGTTGAATTGCACTGGTATTCTAGAAAGGCATCCAAACCACGTCATTCTTCCAGCAGATACTGTCAGCAAAGACCCCTTTCGGACTTTATTGTCCCCATTTTACAGAGAAGGGACAGGGCACAGAGGAGTTGAGTCACACTCACATTGAGTGTGAAGAGGAGAGATGAATTAAAGAGTAAGGCACTTCATGAACCCTCGGTGCTTCCTCTGCTGACAAGTCATGGCGAGCCAGGGCCAGGGCACTGCCCAGCTTAGGAGCCACAAGGGTCCAGCTGGACCTCCAGACAGCTCCAAGTGCACACTGTCAAGTTAACTGGGTCTTGGCTTCCTCACCTGCAAAGTGCAGACAGTGACGGCTCCTACCTGCGGGGGGTCTGGGCATCATGAGTTAGTGACTGCACCTAACACATACTAAGTGCTCAACAAAGCCCCTGGTATTATCACTGCAATCACTGAACACCGGCTTCTCAGCATGGGGGATCCTGGCTGGATCCTTACATTTCTTACAATAAGTCCCAGAGGAAAGAATGAAACCGAAGGGCTCCTTGGGAGATCATTGCTTTCATAGGAAAAGAAGAAAGGGAAGGTGCACTGGGGAATCCCACTGCTTGACCTCCGAGCCGCTTAGACTGGCTTCACGCACCCTCCTTGGCTTCTGCTTCCTGCGTCAGTGGACACCTCCTTCAAGACTGCCCCCTCCCACCTCTGTAGTACTACTGACCTTGCATTTCACTTGAACTTCTATTTCACTTGAACTCATTTCCCGAGACCTTTTTAGACGGCCTTCAAGAGGAAACTGTACTGCTGCCCTCTGCATGGAAAGGCCATCTCAGGCGTCAAAACCTGAAATGGAAGTAAAATCCAGACTGATCCGCTGTGGCTGGAAGCTCTGCTCCCTCCCGGGGCAGGCGGAGCTGGTCGTGGGCCTGGTTCTCCTGCCCCTGCACAGCCTCAGGCAGTGGAGGGGTGGAGGGGAACCAGCATGCCCGAGGGCCTGGCCCTTCTGGTTGTGTTCCTGACTTGTGAAGCCTGCCAGGGAACCACCCAGCCCCGGTGGTCTTGGGGAGCTGGATGCGACCCCCAGGCCCTGGACGTGGCTCTACAGAATGTGAGGGCTGCTGGCACCTCCACGCTAGCTGGGGAGACAGGTGACTGTGGGCGGGGACTTGGGCACTCACTCACCTACCTGTTCACTCTACAGCTATTAAACCACGGGCAGCTGCAGCTCTGGGTGACCTGGGCCCGCATTCCAGCCACAGAAGCAGACAACAGGGAGGGCAGGCCAGGAATGTAAAACGGAATGCAGTCTGTGCTAACCTCCACCAGTGCGGGACGGCTGGGTGTGCAGTAAGTGCGAGGCCCTTTTAGAAGAGAGGACATTTTGCCCTCAGACCTGAGGGCAGGCAGGAGCCAGTTAGGAGAGAATCCATGACAGAGAACACGAGGTTCAAAGGGACAAGGAGGCCAGGCAGGGGAGCGATGGGATGTGGGTTCGGAGGGGCGGAGGGGCGTCCAGGTCCTGGGAGCCCAGGGAGGCGTCTGGCTGCGGGTGCGCTGGGACTTGGGCTCTGGGAAGCCTACGGGACCTGCTGGGCGGCGGCTGGGAAGGGGCAGAGGGAGGTCATGAGGAGACTCCTGCCATGATAGAGGTGACCCAGGAGTTGGCCTGGAGGCAGGAGGCAGGGGGGACAAGAGCTGCGCGGTCCTGGGTGGAGCTGCAGGTGGAGCCGAGGGGACACGATGGCTCCTGCGCACATTGTCTAGGATCAAGGGTCCTTTGAGGGAAAATTGAGTTTCCTTCTGGGCGTGTTGAGTGTTGGGACACCCGAGCCTCTAGGCTGGCCCAGGAAGGACTGCCTGACGCGAGCTCGCCTCCCTGAGACTCTAGGGGTGGCTTTGGGGAGCGGGTCCAAGCAGCTCCCACATCTTGGAACACGCCCTGTTGAAGGACGGGCTTCGGAGCTGTCCGCGGTGCTGATCCCGCACGCTCCGCCCAGGGGACGCCCCGGGAAAAGCCAGCTGTGGCCAGGAAACTAAGCTCCCTGGGGGCCTTGCCGGAACCGGATGGAGGCAAACGAGGAAAAAGGCTGCAGAGTGCTTTCCTAGAGTAGGCTCCCGCACTAGACAGCAGGGCCTGCCGCAAGTTCACTGCCATCATTTACACCGAGTTTCCAAAACAGCCGTGGGCGTGTCCAGGAGTCAGCAGAAGCAGGACGTGGGGCGCAGGGGGCTGTGCACACACGGGACTGGCAAGGCACACGCAGGTGGGGTCACAGAGGAGTAGGATTGCCACTTTGTAGAAACGCAGCATGACTAGATTTTATTAGAAAATTCTTAAACCATTAGCTTGGGTGGCAGCTTTTGAAATGATGAGAAGATGTGCGATTTTTAAATTCCTCAAAAGTCCACATTTTTAAATAGAGCCAAACATGCACACTGTAAGCTGTGCTTGTTATTTTAGTATCACTTTAGCTGGTGAACAGACATTCCCACCACCACCCCTTGCTATGATTAGTCTTGAATTCTGTGGGTTCCAAATTGTGCCTGCTCTTCAAGAATGAGTTCCTGGCATAACACCCACCCACACTCAAAATGGTTGCATGAATGAATGAACAAGTCTGTTCTTTGCAAAAATATCATCACTGGGAAGGCCACACTCCCCACATCACTCAAAAGTCAGGAATTCACAAACGCCACTATGTGCTGGTGAATTAAGGGAGAACCCGGATCTGGCTCCAAGCCCACTTTAATGCCTTCTCATGCCGCGTCCCCGGCTCCCGGAAGTCTCTGGAGCTCACCACATTCTATACTTTTTCTTGCTTATTGCCTGTCTTGCCCTCTGGAATTTGGGGTCCTGGTGTAAGAGCTGCTTTTAATTCACCCTGAGTGTCCAGCACCTGCAGCCCTTCTTAGCACATCCCTGATGCTCCACGGGGGCTGTTTTGAAGGGCTAAAAAATGAAAGGTGACCCTCGTGAATCTTAATCTTGGCAAATCACTAAATTAAAAAGAAAATGGGTGACCTCAACCGAGTTCAGCAGTTGGCTGGACACAGCTCATGATCTGGCCAGGTGAGACGCCCCCGATCCTGGAACCCCTGTGACTGCCCCAGCCCTGAGATGGCTTCCCAGGCAAGACCTCTGGTCCCCTCCTCTGTACATCTGCTGTGGCTCAGAAGGCAGTGTCCTGGAGCACCTATCAGGGACCCTGTCGTCTGTCATCCCACCCAGAGAAGAGGGGCCGAACTGCCCTTTGTGGATGCACCTCCTTCAGGGGCTGGCATTCGGGTTATTTCCAAAGAGCAGTCATTTGGGACCCTTGGCCTCTCTGGAAGGGGGAAAAATTCATATTGCAAATAGTTTGGCCAGGATTTAACCAGGGCAGTCTGTCCCCACAGGCTTTCGTGTTCCACTAACACTGCAGGGGGAGAAGGGTGACCAACAGGGAAACTTGCCCAGGTGAAGCCTCCAGCCACCCAGGAGCCAGGCCCCAAGCCACAGGGCAGTGAGCCAACAACGGCTTGGAGAGACATGCACCCCCCAGTCCTGACCACAGGACTCCCCTGAAGACCCCCTCAGAAGAGATGAGCTGCCAGGGGTGGTGGTGCTTACCTGTGATCCCAGCAATTCAGGAGGCACGTTCAGGGTCAGCAGGCATTTAGCAAGACTCCCTTTCAAGGTAAAAACATAAGCAGGGGCTGGGATGAGGCTGATGGGAGGCTGCCTAGCATGCCACGTGCCAAGTCCTGGGTTCATCCCAGCAGCGGGCTGGTGGGGTTAACGTCCCCAAGAGAACCATCATGACCAAGTCACACAGCAGCTTGGTGTTCCCACCAAGATCCCATCAACCCGGTGATGTTGTTATCCTACTTCCACGAGTCTTTGCAGACTATAGATCTGAAAAGGTCTCAAGACACACCTGTGGGGGAAGCAAGTTACAGAACTGCAGGTGTAACCTGATGTCACTGGTAAGGAAACCCCTCAGCACACTGGTCAGATATCTTCTATGGGTGCACAGAAATGCATGTGAAGACTTGCCGAATTAAAAACTCAAAAACCCATGAGATCTCCACGCTCACCAATGTCATGTATGTTCTTACACAATTTAAAAATGGTGATTTCATCGAACATTCAGTGTGTCCAGGGGGCTTGTGACACCTTCAGATCTCAGCCTGAAAGGCTCCGGGGTCCACCCGCCTCACCGAGAGTCCAGCCTTCAGGAAGCGCTCCTGCTTTGTTGTTTGGAGACCAGACTAGACAGGGTGGCTCTGTTATTTCAGCTAATCTCAGGATACAACCTGGATTTTCTTCCTGACTACGGCCTGCCTTCAATGAGACAGCTCTGTTTCCACATGTATTGCTTATACAATAAGGTGTTTAATTTTTTTAAAATTTTTTATAGTTGTAGATAGACAGCATGCCTTTGTTTTTTATGTGGTGCTAAAGATCAAAACCAGTGCCTCACACATGCTGGGAAAGCATTCTGTGACTGAGCTACACCCCCAGCCCAAGTTGTTTAAGTCTTAAAAAAAGAGAATCCAAGTAGATGGATAACTGTCAGACATATTTCAATGTGAGAAATGCTAAAATTAAAAAAAGAAAGCCGTAGCATTAAGGAAATGTGGCATTTAATCATCACTACTCACCGACATCAGCACACAGCTCACAGTAAGCAGCTGACACATCTGGCACTGTCACACGAGATGGGCCATGTTCCCCAGGCCCACTAGGGCAGGGAGGCCGAGAGGCCGAATTCCTACACTCTCCACACCACACTCTTCCTCGGGCAAGGAACTGCGTCAAGAACAGTCGTCAAACCCAGTCACTCCCCACCTGCAGCCAACCCAGCAGCACCCTCACCTGGACAGCAGGTGGGCTGCGGAAGGGTAGGCGGCAGCAGATCCCACCCGCGGCTGCCCTTGACCTTCGACAAGGAAACTGTGTTTACTTAACTCTTTGAAAAGTAAAATTGTGATTTTGAAAAGATATTGGAAGAAATGAAGCCCCTGAGCCCCCGGAGACGGGAAGGAAAGGCCTTCTCACCCTAACTGCCAATGCTCGGCACACACCACGCAGCCCGCTGGTGTCCACGGAGCCACATTACGTGGAAGGCAGGGTGGCAGCCTGCCTCAAGCCAGAGACTGGGAGCTCTGGCGCCTGCCCTAGTCCTACCCACGGGGCACATGCCTCATGAGGCACACCTCCTCCCCTCCCAGTCTCACCCCAGGACCTGTGAGCGCCCCAGGGAGGACTTGGAGATGGCAGTGCACGGAGTCCTGCAGAAGCCCTCTTCTCCCAGACAGGATCCCGGATCCATCGTGGGCTGCCCAGCTGCATTTGCTCTGCCTCTTCCAGAGAAGCTTCCAGAGTGGCTGTGGAAATCTGGATCACGCCTTCAGTGCAGCTGGACAACCTGCCATTGATTACTGACTCCCTCATTTGCTGGCCCTGCTAGGATCAGGTGAGATGTGTGTGTGTGTGTATGTGTGGTGTGTGTGTTGTGTGTTGTGTGTGTATGCGTGTGAGTGTTGTGTGTGTATGTGTCTGTTGTGTGTCTGTTGTGTGTGTGTGTTGTGTGTGTATGTGTGTGTTGTGTGTGTGTGTTGTGTGTATGTGTGTGTATGTGTTGTGTGTGTATGTGTGTGTTGTGTGAGTGTGTTGTGTGTGTGTGCGTGTGCATATCCAACATCTTGTGGAGGTTTCAAAAGCAACTAATCCCCCGACTGGTGCAGTGGCACATGCCTATGATCCCAGAAACTCAGGAGGCTGAGGCAGGATTCCAAGTTCAAAGCCAGCCTCAGCAACTTGGTGAGACTCTGTCTCAAAATAAAAACAGAACGAGTTTGGGATGCAGCTCAGTTCTACAGCACCCCTGGGTTCAGCCCCCAGGACCACAGGGGGGCGGGGGGGAGGCCAAGGAAGAAAGAAGTTCTCAGGGGTATTGAAAGAGAAGATGGGACCAACCTTGCTTTTTTGTCATTTTATTTGATCCTTTTGAGTTTGGTATCAAACAAGCTCTTAAATGAATGATAATTCATATAATTAAGTAAATTTTTTAAAGATTGAGACAAAATGAACCAACTCCCTGCTGCCAGGAAACCCGGGCAGAGGGCAGTGGATGTGTTGCATGCCACATATGGTGACCTAGAGCTTCCTGTTACAATCAGATAATGTACCCACATGCCCTAAAAATTTAAGTCATTCCAAGTGGTAAACAGAAGGGAAATGAGTTATTCTCTATGCTGTTCTGAAGTCTTGAAATATCTTTTCAAGTTTTTATGATGGAAAAACACACAACATAAAATTTACCATATCAATCATGTTTCAATGATTGTACTTCAACAGTACTTCTGTTTCTTACCCTCCAAAAACATTTTTCCTGACTTAAAAAGAATGCTAGACATTTAAGGCAAACACAGCTTCAGACTTTATTTGGGATCCATGTTTAACAAACTAACCATTAAAATGCATCACTTAGAAAACCAGGGGAAACTGACCTGGCCCATTAGGTGGTATTTTGAATGACTGCTCATTTTGTTGGCTGTGATACTCATATAGCGGTTAAGTTTTTTTTTTTTTTTTAAGTTCTCTTCTGCTGGAGTCACACACTGAAATATTGATGAAGAAAATGATGAGGTAACTGGGATGGGTTTAAATAAACCAGCAGAGAAGGGACATGTTTAAATGCAACCAGACCAGTACAGTGGTATCTGGGAGATGGACACAGGGGGTTCTCAGTGCTAGAGTGTGTGCTTGAAGACTTCCATGCCGAGATATTTTAAAACATAATGTTTATTGCAAAACATTTGAACAATTCTGAATTTAAAGTGTATAAGGTGAAAGTCCCTGTAACGTCATGTCTTCTGTTTGTCAGATATTTCATACTCTCCCTGACTTTTTATGCTTAACCTGATGGAGCAGACTGCCAAGGTGACCCTCACTGGATGCATGCCTCTTTGCAATGCGGATTTTCCAACTCTTCCAGGTGCTCTTGGGACTTGTCAGTGAAATGCGATGTGAATGCTGGGGTGTCTGTAGCAGGCCAAAGCCCCAAGAAGCCTCCTCCTGCAGCCCCCTTCCACTCTGTCTCCTCTGTGAGTGGTCAGGGGACCCCAACTCCCTCCCTGCTCAGCCTGCACTGGCTCCAGCTCACTGGCTGGAGGACCAGCCATGGAGGAGAGGCAAGTCACTCAGCCCCGGCTAGTCAAGACCAGCCTGCCCACAGCTAACCAGCAGCAACCACAACTGCACGAGTGAGGATGGCGGGGGCGCCCTGTGGAACATCGTCCGGGAAGCCACAATGAAGAAGCGTCTCACTAACTTTTGGAGCAGTTGCCACATGGCCAAAGCTGAATGCAACACCTCACACCCAGAGTGATGGTGAGCAGAGAAACACTACTAGTCTCACACACATCATTCATTTATCAAAATGCTTTAGGACATTGGTGAGCAGCTGCTGGGTGAAGGCCCCTGAAGCCCCCTCACTTTCGAAACAGGCGAATGGGCGTGCCCAGGACTGTGGCTGAGTGTTTCCACCTCACTCTCTACTCCTTTCCCGGCTGCTCTTCCAGGTGAACCCCAAGCTACTAGGCCAGTCTTTTGAGGTGATGCTGGTGTGGCCCCTTTTGCCCTCTTCCAAGCACGGCTTCGGGCACAGGTGGACGAGTGCCGTGCTGTTCTTCCAGCGGTGTGAATGGTCTTCCCTCTGCCAACAGTCTCTGCTGCAGCGTCACCCTCTCAGGCCCACCCTCCCTGGCCGCAGCCACCCACTTCATCTCTTCTCTCATCCTCCTACGGTGCTCAGAAATCAGGGGTGGGTTGGTCGTGCTCAGAAATCAGGGGAGGGTTGGTCGCCGCTGGATTCCGGCCTCTGCAACACTGCCCGGGGCACAGCTCGGATCTGTTGACCGAAGGACTCACTGCCCACCCCAGAGCTTCGCCCACTATGCACCCACTTTCTAGGCACAGCCTCTGCCCCACCGCCAACAGCGAGGGGAAAAGTAGCTCAGGCCCTTCCTGACCCAGACCTCTCCTCCCGTCTACACACCGCCTCCTGTTCCTAGCAGCTTCTCACCTGCCCCACCCACTCCACCTCTGCACCTCTCCACCCTTCTGCAACACAGGGGATGGCTGCAAACACCCGCCCCCCTTTCCCAGCAGAGGCGAAACCCGACGCGCCCCATCTTGCTGAGGCCTTCTGAGGCCTTTCCCAGATTTATCAGCCAAAGCCACCTCTGGCTGCAGGTGAATGCCATGCTCTGTGGGCCCCACATGGCGTACGTGCTCAATAAGTGACACTAGTAATAGGAGGGCGGGGCTAGAGCATGGTGATCAGTCGTGGGTGGGTCTCACGCGAGTGGGCGGGGCTGGCGCGGCAGGGTGGCTGCAGGGCTCGCTGGGCAGGAGCTGCGGGGGCTGACGGCCCCCACGGTCAGCAGCCCCAAGCGCAGGTGAGTCGGGCTGGAGAGGCCGCAGCACCCAGGTTGGGTGCCTTGGTTCCCTCTGGGGACCTCAGCGCCGCATTCCCAGCTGGCAGGCCTTGCAAGCCTTAGTTTCTCTCTGGCTGCGTCTGGCCCGGGCACCTGGGAACCCAAGTCCTGGCCGCGGCTTGGAGCCAGCAGAGCCAGCAGCCAGGCCCCTGGAGGCACAGTCACCGTGCCTCCGTGCGGGGTCCAGGGCTGGGACTGTGGCCCAGCTGCAGGCGCTGTCACTTACCCCTTTGCAGGTGAGGAAGCTGAAGCACACACAGAAAAGCGCCGCGCGGTGGGTGAGAAGCCCAGGCGGCACCCTTGGGCACCAGCACCCCTGACGGAGGGAGGAGGGCAGAGGGGTGAGGGATGCGGGGGAGCCTCAAACGGGTCCTGCCACCCAGTCGGCCACGGGGTGTGGGCGGGTGTGTGGAGATTGCCAAGACTGTGCCCCGGTCCTGGCGCGGGCAGCGAGGCCGTTCACCATCCAGCTGAACTCTAGATCTCACGGCTACACACGTGAATGTCTCCAAGATCAGGGTGCCCGTCAGCACTAAGGACCGGCCTCCTGCAGTTGGTGGATTTTTTCCTTCAGTGACATGATCAGCGGCAGCATGATGGCTGGACCCTGGGTATAGCAGCAGCTCAGCTCCCACAGGAACCTAGACCCATGACGACCCTGGGGGATAGTCACGTCAGTAGGACGGGAAGAACCTGTGTCCTGAATGGCCCTGTGGAGCAGAGCTGCCACTGCCCTGCGCCTTCAGCCTCCCAGGAGGTGTGTGACAGAAACAGGAGAGCCAATCAGGGGAGGCGGAGAGCCCCAAGCCGGAGGATATAGTGAGCAGTGCTCTGTGACCCGGGGAGTGCCACTATGTTCTCATTTTCAAGCTGAGGAATCCAAAGCCCAGGAGTTACCCGGGACATGGTGGGGTTATGAGGCTGGCGAGGAGCCACTTCCTCTGGGCTCTATCCCACCACAGTTTGCCTTTTGGCCCCACAATGTCCTGGGCACGTGCCACTGTGGGACAGCAACATGTCAGTATCCCCATTCTCTCCCACCTCTGTGAAGGGCTGGGGCATCCTGTTCTGCAGCAGAAGTGTGGGTGCAATGTCAGCCACCAGGACACGCAGGCGGGACCTCCTGGCCCGTGGCCCCTGCCCCACCTCCTGGTTAACACACAGGGAACAGACATGGCGATGGCCTCCAAGAGACATGTGCAGTGAGAACCACGCTCATGATGCTATCAGCGGGAGGAGTCCTCCTTAACTCTTGCTGACCCAGGCAGGTGGCCAGGTCATATTCTCCACTGCCACTCGCCTCCCCTACTGTGATGTGGAGGGACTGGCCCGGACACCCACATCAAGGGCAGACAGTGGCATTGATTCCATCCTTCACCAGAGCCATTTGGGAGTGCGGAAAGGGCCCAGATCTGCGCTGACCAGCACAGGCCACCTCTGTGCAGAGGTCAGATCAGGGGTGAACCCAACAGAAGGAAGCTTAGGATTTCTTCCCCCAAAGACTGGAAGAAGTCTTCTCTCCATCAGGATGTGGCTGAGGGGCTGCTGCGAACGGCAAGGTCCCACGGGAAGTCATGGGGGATGCCAACTCATGAAGGAGAGCCAGAGACTCAGACAGCAAGGGCTCCACCACAGAGTGCTGGACCAAGTCCACCCGACACTCGACCAGCTTCCAGCTGGAAAACCGTCATCTTGCGTATACGTGCCAGGAGGGCACTTTCCCCACTCGCCTTACAAAGTGTACTTGTGATACCAAAGTGACCTTTAAATGACTTGTTTATTCTTCATATACACCAGTATCAAAAAGTGGGAATCATCAGAAACTCCAGGGCGTTCAGAACCAGTTCTATCCATGTCAGTATTAAAAGGTGGGGTGGCGGGCCCCCCAGGTGCAGGCAGAGCTTCCAGTCAGCCAGGAGGTGCAGGACAAGGTCCGGCAAACCTGCGCGTCGGTGTCCCTCACATTCAGGGTGGACCACATGAAGAGGTGGCCTCTGGGAGGAGGGGTCCTAGGGGCAGAGCCCCTGTAAGAGGCCCAAGGAGCACAGGGAAGACACACAGAGGCAGTCTATATAGAATGGGCCTCTTCAGGCACCAAGCCTGCGGGCACCTTGGCCCTCCCAGCTCCAGGACTGTTGTGAGCAGTGCTGTGCCACTGCACATGGCTACCCAGTGGAGGGCTCTTCCTGTGACAGCAGGAATGGGCTCGGCGGTTACCTTCAAGCCAAGCTGCTAAAATAACTGCAGGAACAGTCTGCTGGAGTGCATGCCTCACTGAACCCCAAGGGACCTGACCTGGCGCAGCCTCGGTTCCCTCCCTCCCACTCTCCCCTCCGTCTCCGAAGTCGACTTTGACACAGGACTGGCATCCTATCTCTTACACTTAAAAGATCACTTAAAATGACCTAATCTCCCTTAATCAAAAGCTTTATTTTGAAAAATCCTAACAGACTACTCTAACTTTGGCATTCAAAGCAGGCATTGTTATTTGCTAACTACGGCATGGGGCCCTTTCCTCCCTTACCAACAACTGGGATCCAGTAGGACAGGACGGACTGCCAGTGGGAAGGACCAACGCCCCCATCTCCCTTTAACCCATGGAGAAAACTGAGATGGGACAAACTGAGATCTGGATTCAGGGCGCACAGGACAAAGGGAGTAAGAGCCCAGTCTTCACCCTCCGCCCACCTGCCCCTTAGTCCTGCTGACATGCAGCCCCGAGACACTGCCATTTGTCAAGCTCTTGTATTCACACAGAGGGCTGGGCCCCAGCCTAAGTTCCATTACTAACTGGACCTCAGAAACCTTACAACGTCCCCCAATACACCAGGTATCCAGGGACTTGCTGACCTTCGTAGGAGGGCATGTTTGAGCAAAAAGCCCTCCAAGGATGCCCACATTCCTGGGCCTCCTGGGGTCAGTCATCATGTGCTCCAAAGACAGGACTGCCCCACTGACCTGCACGGCACAGCCCACCCACCTGGTGTCCACCGCTGAGCTCAGGTGTGGATTCGCAGGTGCCGGGTCAGGTTCGTGTTGCGGCTGAAGGCCTTCCCACACTCGGCGCAGCGGTAGGGCTTCTCGCCGGTGTGGATGCGCAGGTGCACCGTCAGCGACGAGTTCTTGATGAAGGACTTCCCGCACTGCGCGCAGCGGTACGGCTTCTCGCCGGTGTGGATGCGCTGGTGCTCTATCAGGTACGCGCTCTGGCTGAAGGCCTTGCCACAGTCACTGCACTTGTAGGGACGCTCGCCGGTGTGCACGATCTGGTGCACCACAAGCGACGAGCGCCCGGTGAAGTGCTTCTTGCAGAGGTAGCACTCGTAGGGCTTCTCGCCCGTGTGGATGCGCTGGTGCTGCGCGAGCGCCGAGTTCTTACTGAAGGCCTTCCCGCACTGCGCGCACTCGAAGGGCTTCACTCCGATGTGGAACCTCTGGTGCTGGATGAGGTAGGAGCTCTGGCTGAAGGCCTTGCCGCACTCGTTGCACACGTACGGCTTCTCGCCAGTGTGGTTCCTCTGGTGCAAGGTAAGCGAGGAGCTCTTGTTGAAGGCCTTGCCACAATCTTTGCACGCGTACGGCTTCTCTCCCGTGTGCGTGCGCCGGTGCTCTGTCAGATGCATATTCTGGCTGAAGGCCTTGCCACACAAGGGACACACGTAGGGCTTCTCGCCTGTGTGCGTGCGCTGGTGCACAATGAGGTGCATGTTCTGGCTGAAGGCTTTGCCGCAGTCCCCACACGCGTAGGGCTTCTGGCCCGTGTGGATGCGCTCATGCTGCGTGAGGGACGAGGTCTTGCGGAAGGCCTTGCCGCACACATGGCACGCATAGGGCTTCTCGCCTGTGTGCGTGCGCTGGTGCACTACGAGGTTCATGCGCTGGCTGAAGGCCTTGCCGCAGTCCCCACACGTGTAGGGCTTCTCCCCCGTGTGCACGCGCCGGTGGATGGTGAGGGACGAGCGCTCAATGAAGGGCTTTCCGCACACGTCACAGCGGAAGGGCTTCTCGCCCGTGTGGATGCGCAGGTGCTTTACGAGGGACGAACTCCGACCGAAGGCCTTGCCGCACTCCCGGCAGTCGTAGGATGCCAGGCGCTGGCCAGGGTCTGAACCACTGGGGCGCTCCCCACGCACCCCAAACAGGCAGGCCCCCTGCTCCGCGGGCACCTCCAGCGGTAGCGGGTCAGGGGTGCCACTCTGCGTGGTAGAGGCCTTCAACTCACGGCCCTCAGAGACAAAGCCCTCTGCCAGGCTGCTGCCCTGGTCAGTGGGCCACCGCTCCCCGCGAGACCCCATACCCCAGCCGCCCTGCGTGCACGCTCCTGCCCAGGCGCAGGTCCTCTCGGGCCCTCCCAAGGCTGCCCTGGCGGGTGCCTTGCCCTCTACAGTGTCGTCCTTAGCATCCAACTCCTTCATTTCAGGTCTAGTCCCCCAGTCTGGAAAAACAAAACAAAACGACAAAAACAGAAGCAGTCAGCAATGCCGGGAGTGAGGAACATCCACAGCGGGACTGGGCAATGGAGCCCCAAGATGCCGCAAGGCAAGGCCGGGCGAGAAATCACGCTGGCAACTGGGAGAGCGAGCGCGTGGGGAAGCAGGGTGCGGGTCGGCTGTGAGCTCCGGAGTCGCAGAGAGCCGGCTTGGACACGACTGGCACGACGCTGGGGAGGAGGGCAGCCGAGGCTGCGCACAGGCTCCACCCTCGCCCAGTGCACCAGAGGCCCCGCACTCGCTCGTACTAAAGTGTCCACAGGTGACACACGCGCGCGCTGGTGACTCTGCTCCCTCACCTGCCTCCTGTCTGCCCCGGCCTTCCCCCCGCGAGGCTGACCTGCCACCAGAGGCTTCTGGGTGTCAGGCAAAGGGAGAAATTGGCAGCGTTGGCAGCGCAGTGGGTGCTCGGGGTGCCACCCTCACCCTGCAGGGTGCAGGCCCACTCCTGCGCTCCACCCGTGGTCTCCGCACGCCCTGGGGGCGCCCCAACTCCCACCTCCCCTCTGAGCGTCCTCACGCTCCTTCTCTCCTGTGAGCCTACTAAGAAAACGCCCCTGCGGGAGCCTCAGTCAGACGTGGGGCACGGAAGGCAGCGGCTGCAGGTCGCCCGCAGGAGGCGCCTGGCAGGAGGCTGGCCCCAGCGGCGCGGGGGCGGGAGCAGCTGCGGGTATCAGGTCCCAAGACCAGACAGTTCTCCAGGTGGAGGTGGCGATGTCTGCACTACAGAGTGAACGAACCTAATGATATTAAACCACACTTAAAAATGATCAAAACTGTAAGTTTTATGTATATTTTATCACAATTTTTAAGTATAGTATTAGACTTAGCAGTCGTCCTTGCTGCTCCCCTTTCCTCCACCACCGGTGTAAGTGCCACTGCATGCACAATGCAGCCACCACAGGTTCTCACCCAAAGAGCGACCCACAGGCTCCCCACCCTCCCAACTCGGCTCCTCTTCACCACCCCCATCCTGGGGACGCCAGATCAGACCCAACGCAGAGTCGGGGCTGCCGCTGGCCCTGGACTCCCCAGGCCTGGCCCCCCCCCCATGAACTGCCCATCCTTCCTGTGTGTGTGGGGGGGGTGCTGGGGATTGAACCCAGGGGTGCTCTACCATGGAGCCACATCCCCAGTCCCTTGTATGTTTTATGATGAGATGGGTTCACTGTGAGCCCAGGCCGGCCTTGGACTTGTGGTCCTCCTGCCGGGGCTGCCCAAGGAGCAGGGCTGCCCTTGGGTCCCCAGGGGTACGGGTGGGCCCCATCACACCCATTTCTCGTCCCTTTCTATCCCCTGCCCATGCTCTACAAATTACAAAAGAAACTCAGAATGAAGCCTTCGGGGCCTTGGGAAAAGATATCTTAGATCTGACACCAAAAATACTATCCATAGAAGAAAAAAGTTGAGACACTGGAGTTCACCAAGTTAAAGACCTCTTGGCTCTTCAACAAACGCTGGGCACCAGGTGCCCACACAAAGGAACAATTTGGACCCTTTCCTACACAACTCATAAAAATGAATCCCCAGCGGATCCCAGACCTAAGGAAGAGCTAAAACAGAACTTGAGAAGAATATAGGAGTTGACCCCTGCAACACTCTGCCACCAAAAGCACAAATGCAACAAAACAGCTAAACGGGACTAGAAATTATGGAAATCAGAAATTAGATGGTAGGCCAGTCTACCCCCAAACCATCATGGAAATGAGAAACTGTGTTTCAAATGACACCATCAAGAAAGGGAAAAGAGCCCCCAGAAGGGGGGGAGATGTTTGCCCAGCACACCTGCTCAAAGACTCGCACCAGGAACGGGAACTCTCAAAACTCCGCCACGACCTAACTGATGTGAAAGGGAGCAGGCCCCAGGCTTGAGGCCTGACAGAGATAACACACAAGGCACGGGACACAGAAGGCAGGGCCATGAGGCCACCCATCTGTGTGGAAAGCCAGGCCGGAAGAGGGCAAGGCTGGTGGACCTGGACCTGAGCCCAGGCCCTGGACACGCATGCTTTCTGGGGCTTTGTGCGTGACAGAGTGAACTGGAAACTGTCTGAATACTCAACAAGTGGCTGGGAAGACAAACTGCAGGTGCCCACACGGTGGCATGATGCACGGCGAGGAGGAGAAACGGACTGCTGAGACACAGGGCCACTTGGGAGCATCATGAGCAACACCACCAGGTCAGGGAACTGGACACGAAGGTGCACGCCCTGTGGCTGTGTGCACAGAATCAAGGACATGCGGAGCCACTACAGGGACCCTGGCCACAGGAGAGGGCCGGGAGGCAGGAGTGATCTCCAAGGGCAATGAGGGTGGTGGTGGACACGCTGTCCTGTCATGGCCCTGGTGGCACTGTGCACTGCACGAATGTGCTGTGAATCACAGGCCAGTCGTAGCCCAAAACCATCCACGAAGGAGTCAGGACCACGCCAGGTGCGGGTGGGGCTCCCTCCACAGGGCAGTGCCCAGACTGTGCCGTGTGGCCGCGACTAGTCTTGCCCTTTGGTTTTCTTCCCACACACTTCCCCCACTTATGGAAGGGGCCTAAGGACAGACCCTTAAAAGTGACTGTTAAAAATGTGACTTAGGATACCAAACTGACTCCAAGAGGCTTGCCCCGACTGCACTCCTGAAGTGGGTCTCTGGCCCTAAACCCTTTCTCATTAATCTTAGTGTATTCCAAAAGGATGATCTCTCAGTTTGTAAACTTCTATCAGGAAAGCGTTTTGAAACCTCAGGCTGTGACCTGTGTGTCACCCTGTGTGTCTGTGAACTGCCAGCTCCTGTCAGTGTGGTCTGATCACCTACCGCTCACTTAGTCCTTCTGCCCTTTGTTCCCAGGGTGGTTTAAGGATCATGACCCCTGGTTATACCTGTGAAGAAATCATCCTCATGTCACCTACCAACCTCACTTTGAGCCTCAAGCCGTGACAGGACCAGGAACGTACCCTCTGTGCCAGCTCCTCAGCTGCACCTTCTAGCGGCCCCACACCCTTCCTGGCAGGATCCTTTTCCTGTGACTGTGGTCCTGTTATGGGCTGCTGGTGACGCCGCAGTACCACCCTTACCCAGAGAGACCAGGGTCCTGGAGTTCTCCAGCGTGACATCCTGTGCAGGTCCTTCTGGGCAGGCTCCAGCTGCTGCCACTCCTCCTGGGTCAAATCCACAGTCAGGTCCCTGAGTGTCACTGACTCCTGCAGACAGATCGCGCCACTCACCGCCAGGCCCTCCTCAGAGCTCTGGAGGTGTGGCCGGAAACACGGACAGGATTTAGGGATGTCTGTGAAGTCAGGAGCAGACGGGGAGGAGGGACTAGTGCCTCCTGGGCAGGCGGGTCACCAGGGTCTGGAGATGCGGCCACAGGGGGCTGAGCAGAGCTCTGAAGCCCTCATAAGGGTGGCTTAGGGTGAGGCTGCTCACAGTCGGGAGAGCTGGGGGGCTTCTGGAAGAGGGTCCATGGAGCCAGAGCTGGGCTCTAGCAGGTGGTCAGGCGGCTGGGGTGGGAGCAGTCCTTGAGGCACAGGCTTGAACCATGAGACCACACCACGGCGCAGCAGCAGACGGTGGCAGAAGGGTCACAGAGCAGAGGCCCTCACTCCCTCCCAGCTGCTCGGTGCCAGCCCTTCTGGGCGGTGTCATGGGTCAGATCAAGTGCTGTGCCCCAAACATTTGTAAGTGCACGTCCTGACTCCCCAGGGCCCTGACCGGACTGAGACACAGGGTGGCTGGGGAAGTGATCAGTCACGATGAGGTCATCCTGCGGCAGCAGCCCTGGCCGGTCATGACCATGTCCTTGTAAGAGGTGAGAAGGCAGGCAGGCAGAACCCGGCCAAGATGGCAGCCACAGGGACAGTGCCAGGGCAGACCACTCCCCCGCCTTCAGAAGGGTGGAGTCCTGTGGGCAACTTGCCAGAGCGTCAGTCTCCGGGTGGGAGGGCAGCTCCTGATGGCCCTGTACAGCTACCCGGTAGATGGACACAGCTCTTCCCGTGCTGACCCACTCACTAACTCAGTGCAGGCCACAAGACAGTCACGGCGGCCTGTCACCTCTCCGTGACCTCTCCCTGCCCCTTCCCGCCTGCCCCAGCACTCCTGGTTCCCACACGGCCCACTGGGCCCTGCCAGGAGCAGGCGCTGCAGGGAGCTGGCAGGTGCAGAGGGTAGCCGGCAGAGGGGCAGACCCTGCGTGGTTAGATGTGAGGCGCCCCCGCGAGCAGTGTGGGGGGAAAGGCTGGGTTGTGAGCTGCCCACCTGACTGGGCATCAGTCCCCTGGCGCGGTTAGCTGTGGTAACTGGAGGTGGCCGGGCTGTGGCTGGAGGAGGTGGTCCTGGGGGCTGTGCCTTGTCATGGAGAGGAGAGCTGTGGTAATTGGAGGTGGCCGGGCTGTGGCTGGAGGAGGTGGTCCTGGGGGCTGTGCCTTGTCATGGAGAGGAGAGCTCTCTCTGCTTCCTCGTGCCATGTCCTCAGATGCCCTCCTGCATACACACTTTGCCCTGATGTTCTGCCTCACCTCAGGCCCAGGGAACAGAGGTAGCCA